TTCATATTTTTTTCTATTATTCACTATTACTATTTTCTTATGGAACATGTATATGTGATGAAGACAAAAAGTTTTTATGGAAACAATAGTTTTTAACATAGATATTTGCAGAAAAATAATTTCCAATTCTTTTCTTATTTCCTTGCTATAGAAACCGTGTAGTGGTCAATTTGAATGATTATCATTAAACCAGCTGCCTACATTAACGAAGTTAGATTGTAATTAACTTCGAATCTTAATCACCGCGTACTCCCTTTCTCCTTTCTTCCGTGATCTTTGCTCGTGAAACGCGATTGTTACGGGCGCTCATGTGAAACTCCTAGTACATACGCACTTCACGGCTCCGCAACGCTGAAACGTTTCTTGCCCCGATGTGTACAATTCCGTGTTTCCCGCGTCGCGTTTTCCCTTTCGTGTCATCAACGCCATTCGAGCGAGTTATTAGACGGAACGGTTGCATTTTATGGAAAACTAGGTTTCCGTCGATCTGAAATCGCTATCGGGCGATCATTGGGCAACCTTCTTCGCACAGGGTCCCCATTGAAAACCGCAGGCGTTTCCCACGTGCTGAAATATAACTCGCAATAAACCAAAGTGATAGTAGGTTAAGTCTTACGATGCTATCTGCCGGCTAATTGCGCCCGCGAACTCCGGTAACGGCTCAGCGCCAAGATTCTGAGGCAATCCGTCGTTTGTCGTCGACCGGGAATAAAGAGCAACGATCCGGTCTTATTCTTTTCAGGCGGGTTTCGCCGGTTGGAAAAGCTATCGGTCGACCGGTAGGAGAGGAAAAGAGCGTGCCAGGCTAAGCGGGTCAACTCTTCCTGAAACGGTATTCCGGATGAAACAGAAAAATCCTAACAATCGTTCCCGATGGATCAGACTTGAATAGTCTTCTCACGGTTCCCCGCGGAATAACATCTTTCGAAACGTAATGCCACGGCATTCCAGGGTATCGGCGAGAATTTTGCAAGTATTCACGGTATTGCGACAATTCAGCTCGCGCATAATTGGAAAATGTCGATCTTAGGTAACGCACTACGACGGAATTAAAAGTTGGGGAAACTATTGTTTTCATCGACCGTGTTTAGTCTGAAAAGGTCTAATTGCAATCTTGTGTTGCCATAAGTAGAGAGAATTGTAAATTTTTACATCGGCTGATACTTACAGTGCAACGAATAAAAAGAGCCAAATTACTTTTAAAAGACGTATTTTACGACAGGATTTTCTCACATCTTCGGCCCTTAATTTATGAAAATTCAGTGAGAAAACTTGAAGATCCAACTTCGCGCGTACATTTAAATAGCAACACTCGACCAGGCATCGTCTCTAATAACGGAAGCAATTCGCTCTTATGCGCCATTAACTTCGTACGAAGTGATCTCTTCCGGAGGCGAACGTGTTTCGGAAAGAACACTCCTCCCTCAGAGGATACGTATTTAGCCGGTTCCCGCGCAAAGAGAGAAAGAGATACCGCTTGGTGATTGCGAGAGCCACCGATAACGTATTGCCAGACGGCCTCGTATAATCAACAGATTAGCCGAAGAATAGATCAGAAGCGATGAGCAAAGGAGACTCGGTTAGCTGAAAGCTTTCCCCGTTGCCCATTAACGGAGGGGTTGATTTCGTTCTTCATGAGACGCACGGCAAGCGCGCGTGTTGCGCTGGAGCGAAGCCGGGAAAATGCGATTATAAGTCACGAGGTGTTCGTCGTCCCATGTCTGTCACCAGAGTCTGCTTGAGAGAGACGGGATTGATTGGATGTGGGGAAGCGCGGCTAACAGCGAAAGATGAAAGACAAAGAGCCTGGCACTTCGGCTAACAAAGGAAATGTGTTTTCCTGAAAGCTATACGTACCACGTAGCATCGAGCCGCGACATGCCTGGGCGATCGACAGCTGAGCTGCACGATACTTCAATATTTGTATCAAATTTTCGTGCAGGTGATTGCATGGTTTCAGTGATAAGATATGAAGGGATGTTTTACGACATTCCTCTTTTTATTAATAATTGCAATGTCACGACTGGATGTATGATTATAAACTGTTATCTTAAATAGGTACATATATGAACTTTCTTTTTGGTGCTTTATTCAAATTATCAGTAATCTCATACGCAGTGGTTGATCGAGCTTTGATAAGGAGAATTTATATAGGTATTTCAAATTCTCTTTGAGCGGTGATTTTCCGTTTAATATGGCCGGAGCTACATTCCAGTTAAATCACGGAATATATAAAATAATTCAATCGCAAGTCCATCGCAGCAAAATAAACGTTTCGCGCAGAAACGTCGCGTCCTCGTTCGGTAGATAGGAGAATGATCTGAGAGGATTTGCACGACGCGTTGAAGCGTCGTTGGGGTCTCTACGTCCCCGCCCCTTGCACGCAATCGTCGCAAGCGTACTTAAACAGGCGCAAGAGCACGCTCACACGTGCTCGAAGTCCGTCGATATATCCAAGACACCAACGAGAGGCGACGCGGCGCGACGCGACGGGGCCAACGGCACACGTGGAAATGGAAGGCTCCGTGGTACGTAGGTATCCCGGGGATACCCATCGGGAGATTAGCATTTCCGCTTTTCTCTCAACAATTCCTCGTTCCCGTACGGATTAGCCGTTAATCTGCGCGGACCAACAGGAAGAGATGGAGCACTTCAGTTGAGCTCTTCCAGATACCACCTGTATCAAGTATTATTTCAGTATCGTCTCGCATTCGTGAGTGTTTCGCGAGAGACTCACAGCTCCGTGAATTGAGCGAGTCGGTAGTCAGAATCAATTATTGTGAAGGTGGATTATGCTGCAGCGTTAAACCTGCTTAGCGCGGTGTTTTCTTCTTTTTGCGAGAATAATAAAAGGTCGTAAGGTCGATAGCTCATAAATCATCGATGCTTGCGTTCGTGTCGAAACCTATTGATACGTCATCTGCTTCGACTCCTTTTCACTGAACCAGACATAATATAATTTATATTTACAATTTAAAAAGAAATGTATTCCAATACATATTGAATTAAAATAAATTACCTCTAAAGCTGGTTTACTGTGTACCAATATTACAGAATAATTCCGACTGCATTAAATATTCATATCTACTAAAAAATATAACTGAAACGAAAGACGAGCTCTGCCCTTCGCAAAATCCGAAAGAGATAGATGTGTGGCATTAAAATAACGATGCCCATTACCGAAACTCGAATCCGGAATGTACGTAGCCAGCGCGGTTTTTCTTTGAAACGCAGTAAACAGCCCGGGTCCGAGTCCGGTGGTAGCTAACCAACCCCCTGGCCACCCGTCGCAAATCAAAGCTGCGGCAGTAATAAGCAGCCCGCGGTAATGTTCACAGAAGGTGAATCCACGGTAGAAGGGAGGTAACCAGTGGAAAAGGAATAACGGGTCCGCGGGGGTGGTAGGGCGGAGGTGGTACCCGGGAAGGAACGGTCTCCCCGAGTGGTCATACATGGACGGGGGTTTGAGGTCCTCGAATAGAGAAGGATGATGCATTATTGAGTGGACTGTCGGGGGGGAGGGAGGAGGGGAGGGGTGTATAATCGCACACATCCTCACCGGTCTGCTAATGGACTCCATCTACCCATTTCAGCTCATCCCCTTGGCCGACAACGCTCCGGTGGCAGCGGACATCGTGATATTTTCACTGCCTCAAGATTCATCTGGGGGTGTACCCACATACCTACCGGTATTACAGATATACGTAGGTGCTGGCACGTACTCGACACATCTCGGCACGAGGAAATGCTCGCGCAGTACCGTATATACGCGGTGCGATCATTTCTGGGCTACTTGAATCCAGACTTCGCACGTTAAGTACGTTTGACAATTATAAAATGATATTTCGTTTATATAACAGTGTACGCTTATTTTTTTAACAACCTAAAGGAAATTCTACCATACGTGAATTGATTGTAAGTAGATAAAATACATTTAGGCAAGATAGAAGTTGAATAGAAATAAAATGATCGACGAACGTGGACGTATATCTTCCGTTGAGTACGGAAGGAAATAAAAATGACACGTAGCCTAATTATCTTTCAGGAGAGCCCGTACGACTTGCGCATCCCTTATTTCTACGCCACTATCTCCGTACATATATGTACCTACATACTACGTACGTACTTCCACAGGCACCAGAGACGCGTTATTATTGGATTACATTTTTAATCCGCCCTCTCTACCGCTGGCACCTCCACCCACTCTCTAGCACAGGCCACCCTCCACCACACCCTGCCCCCAACCCTCCGTATCCGACGTCGTACGTAGCTCCGACCCCGCGGCGCATCCTCCACTTTCGTATTCCGAATGGAATTACTATGCAGGAGATTTCATTTGTTATATATGCACGCTACAAACGAGTGCATTTTCGCTTAGGTTAATCGAATTATGGCCCCGGGTGTATGCATTTTAAATTCGCGTCGCCTTTCCTGCCTTCTTTGGCAGATAGCCATCTCTCACATCGACTCGCTCCACTCGGTTCGGATACGTGCACTGCAAATCTCTTTCCCATATTAATAAATACATACTGCATTCTATGTCACACTTTACTTCAACTAGCACTGCTTTACATTAATACTAGTTACGTTCTGCAGTTCTTAAAAGTACCTTAGAAACGTACAAAATTGCAAGTACCACTGACATTTGTGTTGAACCGTGTAATCGTTTTATACGGCTTAATACGTGGACGAGTAATTTCGCAGACGTCACGAAATGTACTTAATCATCCGGGATTAATAAATTATCGAATCGTTGGATTATTCTCGTTCTCGTCGCCCGGAGAAGAATTACGGTGATCTACGCAACAAATTCAGAACACGAAATCACGATCACGCGCGAGATCGTGACTACGTTTTAAGCTGTTGAATTGAGGGAGAGAGAGAGAGAGAGTAGAGATCCCTTCTCAACCGCACAGTAGCCGCGCGTCGTCACTCTTGGCTCATTCATGAATGATCACGGTCGATCGTATTGTGACAGGCCAGTGATTGGTACGTCGTTGAGGCGAGAAAAGATTCATTGTCCCGCAGTCACGTGCATCAGAAAGCGACTAGTCATCGTCCCTCTCGATGTAAACCACGGACGAAGAGAAATTTTCTTGCCGAATCATGTCCACCGGGTCTCTTAGATTTGCCTGCCGTGCACGCCTACCGTTTCGAAAAGAGAGATCCGGGACAAATTGTTCCGAGTAATTCCGATAATAGGTTCCAAGTTTCATAATTGGTATCGCAATTTTACAACTGCATCCATCTATTTTTAGATGAATAACATTTCAACGATTGTCTGCATTTAGAGCTAAATATATTTTATAACTTCGTGAAACAATTCTTCATTATAAATTTATGATACATTCACGTCTTATAGAACCAAATCGTGAAACTGTGTAATATGTGAGAAAAAATTCATAAAAAAAGATCAGAGTCCGAAGCTTTCACAGTTGATCATACCGGTGGAAACGAGCGTATCCGCAAAAAGTAAAACGGATTTCACAAAAGGCAATGCGTACCGGGTCCCTTATTCAACGTTAGGAACTAATTAGCGCAAAATTCAAAAGGTACGCACTCGTTTATTAACGAGAAGACGTAACGATCCTTCGGGCTCCGTCGCTACCGTTTTTTATAGGTTTTGCAAGGAAGCAAACGATTCACGCACAGTTGGTATAGATTCAACGCGAGTTCTCAAAGGTCTCCCTTTACGAGCTTCACACTTGCCAGCCGAGGAGAAAGACCTCGTTCTATTCGTTACGGGAACAAGTAATTAACACGTGATTTCTGTCTCGTCTCACAGATTACTTTTATACGTTACCAATTTAAAAGAAAAGTATTGAACTAAATATTCATAATTATATGTATTTGTAACACTAATTAAGCACTATCGAATGGGTTAACAAGAAATATATTTGTGTCCTAAGTATTAGTATCATATTTTATTCATGTTATCTCAAGTTAAAAACGAATAAAAATTAAACGAACAGAGAAAAGATACGCCAGTTTAGAAACAATAATCCTGTATCGTCAGGCCTAAGCAATTGTTAGTTCTTCCTTTCCCTCATAGTTTCTCTATCACCGTGGAACTAACAACATCTGACCTCGTTAATCGTTCACTTGTACAAACGTGATACCAATCACGCTCAAAGAAGCATTCAAGAAGTAATTTTTGCAGAAATTAATATTCTTCATTATGTTCTAAGAAAATTGCAGAATTTGTTTGTTGGAAATTAATTCTGTTGCTACAACTGTAACTTTCTACACAGATGTAAATTTTCTCTATAGTTCTCATTGTTTCTGAAGCACTGCATACATTGAATATAATGATTTTGAAATGAAAAATGATATAATAACATTTCGGATCTCGTTCGATATTCTTTTACACGGTTTAAATTATCTTTTGAATTATATACACAATATGAATAAACCTGTCTATACTAATAATTGTCTAAAGTAATAATTGTTCCTTTAAGATTACAATACCAGCAGAATTTGGTAAGAGATGAAAAAAATGTAGGTAAACAACATTTTTATCAACATTAAAAATAGAAAATTATCTCGGCATTCTAAAGGCGAGATTTTAATTCATGCTGAGACACACGTGTTTAAGAATTAAGCATGCATGGAATGGTATATAGAATGTACATCTTTATTAATGACGAGAATAGCGTGTAAGGTAATATATAATTAACCATAATCAAGATCCTATTAAATTATTAAAGCGAAGGTGCTAATGTACGGGTAGACTGTAGTGAATAAACTTATGTAATACATGAATACTTTTCCTGGACATAAATTTTATTTACATAAATACCATTCGGGAGTAGTTATACATACGTACTTGTAGTCCTTGACAAAATAAAATAATTGTCTACATATTCAATGTTCTATGCAAAATGGACAGTACCATAAATTAACATTACTTATTATTTAATGTAGATACATGTGTTAAACAGTAGTCTGCGATGACGTTGTTACATCTTAACAAGAAATGTAAAACGTAGAAATGCGATCCTTTTAGCTATTTTAAAATGTAAAAGACTCTTTAAGATGGAAAAGAAAGGTAACCATCTCGTTCCCATTCGCGTATAAAGACCATGTATCTTGCATACGCGTGCAGATTTTCCAGTGGCTCCTCCGTAGCGAGAAGCAGGAGCGGCGGCGGCAGTTTTCTCACACTTTTCCGCCGGTGTACCCGGTACTTTGCGTGGCTTCTTCAGAAAATTACTTTTGCTCGTGGCTTTAATGCGCGACCAGTCAGGACACCAGGGTGGACAGGATATGACCTCCCTGCGGAGCGTCCCTTCGCGGGATCTGGCATGTATGCCGAAATGAGCCCACTTTGACTGTTCAACCACTATTGCGAGTCGAGCCGAGGCCGCTCATCTCGGAAATTACTTCCGCTCGGACATTGTAGTTGCCATTTGCGCTCGCAGTGTATGCAAAGGTCTCGATTTGGCAAAGAAACGATGAAGTAACCAAGCTGTCTTTACCATTCGATGTTTGTTGTCCGCCTCTATACTCTGTTCTTCGGTACGAAGGTACGGTAGCTGAGTTGCCTTCAAGCAGATTCATGACTTAAGAAAAATAATCTGTATCAAAATATCGTGTAATACATTGTATAATAACCAACACATGTCACCGTGAAAGAAATATTATCAATATTGATTTGCATGACATCTTGTATATCGTGTGAACTGAGTATTAAAGACAACATTCAACGAAAAGCATTTAAGTTCAGTTTAACTGTTGCTTGAATGGCCAAAAGGGGAACGTAAAACGCAGTGATGCGGTGCACCAGACGGGAGGAAAATTAGAAGGTCGAACGAAATGATGCTTGTACGGGTAAGGATTAAAGACAAGTGATTAGTAGTTCCGGTTCTCACACTCTGCAAAACAAATAACTGGCTCTAACGAGGGCCAATCAATAACCGACGGATAACGACCGGTTTTGCGGGGAGAAGCTGCGATCGCGGTAGAAACTCCGCCCTTGAAATCTTGCAGACACCTCCGAGAAAACCACTCCTTCTTCACTTTCACAATGTTGGGAACCTTAACGAGGTCCCGAGATCGATGCCATCATAGTTTCCATCGCTGGAATCCGATCGAAAATGTTTCTCCTAATTACAATACCCTGCTGATTCCATCGGACTAATTAACAAGATGAATGAGAATAAATTGTCTTGCAAATCAGTAAAGTGTTACATACGTATTCATACGTAATTTTAGAACGAGGTAATGAAAGCTTCTAATACGACCTATCTTTGTGTTGCATCTTATAAAATTTTAATAATACCAAGGAGCTCGGGCTAGGATTACGGCACGATTTAAAAATGCATTTCGTTTTGCCAAGTCATCAAGTACAGGTTTTACAATATAATACCTACTGTTTCACTCATTGATATAATTACAGAGTACGTTACGTAGTAATAAAAATACCAACAACTCGACGGTCAAGTTAAATCGTCCCAGAAACGACGGAACAGTGCGTGAGGAGCGATTCCTAGAGGGCAACGGGCATGACTACAACAACAATGGCGTACACAGGAATCTGTCAATCCACGTACACGTCTTTCATGAAAGCGGCTTCCTTCTTGCCGGAGCATCCGGGTGCCCCATCATAGCTAATGACATGCACCGACTCTTTTCTCGTAGGCAACGCTCGAAAAACCGAACGAACACAACGCAGATTCCTTTATCCGCTGGCCCGTCATTACATTCGGGATTGCGTCTATAGTCGCCGGCTTTCTTCCTGCCCCGGCCGTGATTAATATAAAATAAATGATTGCCGGGCATCCGGTCTCAGAAAACCCTTCGCGTTTCGCTCTTCCCTTCTTTCTCTTCGAATGAATCCTTCGATGCCCCTTCCGCTAACGTCAGTTTAGTTTCTTTTTCTCGATTATTCCGCGTAATTTGTCGGTCAAGTCACCACGGCTAGTTAAATGTTATTTCATGGTTATTGTCCAGGGGAATTGTCGAACAGCACGTTTCCGATCTGCCTGCAATTGTCCGCTACGGTTATTCCTCGATTGTGTCGATCTTCGAGCAACGAACGACTTCCCCTACATGCGGACTAAGAAAGTGCCTCAGAATATATTTGCAATTTTATGTAGAAAACATTTTATTATAATATTATACAGGTCATTGCTGACTTTAGAAAGCTTATCAATATTATGTAAAATTAATGCGCA